GCATCCCCGCTAAACTAAACGCAGGCCTATCAGGTAAAGTTATGTATAATTTTAATTTAAATTAAAAAGGCGCAGCTGCGTAGCGCACAGAAGCCGGTGCCATGGTTACTATCCATAGAGCGCCTGTCATTCACTCGCGGAGCGCTGTCTCCCTTTCTGTTCACCTGAGAGAACCTGCCAAAGCCTCTCCACTGCTTGTTTGGGTGGGTTATTTGCTGGCTGACCAACATCCCACCCCTCCTGTGATCATGGTTTGACTGTAGGCCTATTTGTATTCAGAGGCAGTGAGCAACGGACTTTCAAAAAAAAAAAAAAAAAAACCTCTGCGTTAACGCGCGATAAAAAATTTGTCGGCATTAATTAATAAATGCGTTAACGCGATAATAACGCGTTAACTTGCCCAGCACTAGTTTAAATCACTTGTGAAGGAAGCAAAGAAATTACTGGTCCAACTTCTCCCTCTTTTTAAAGTGTGGAAAAGGGAAAAGTTCAAAGATCGAGACTCCAGCAACAGCTGTAGCCATATATGAAGATTTGTTAGATTGGGGTTAGATTGTATTTGCTGGTTTGCGGTGGCAATACTCCATTATTTACTGCCAGGCAGGCCCCCAAAATTTTCCTGCTTAGGGCCCCCAGATTTACAGGGCCAGCCCTGATGGTCACCACCTCAAAGAGCATGCACAGAGAAGTCCAAATTAAACATGATTTAATGACTCGTAAATGTAAGTACACATTGATGGCCTAAGACACGAAACGAGCAGTTTGTGTGAGAAAACGAACAGTATTTATATCGTTTTTACCTCTTGTAGCGCACAGACCGAAGCGCCCGCGCCCTCAGATCACTTGGACGTGGCTGTGGTTACAAGAGGTAAAAACGATATAAATACTGTTCGTTTTCTCACACAAACCGCTCGTTTCGTGTCTCAGGCCATCAATGTGTACTTACATTTACGAGTCATTAAATCATGTTTAATTTGGACTTCTCTGTGCATGCTCTTTGAGGTGGTGACCATAGACCTGCATTATATGACTGACAGACAAGAACGGTTTGACCTAAAAATATCAAAATTGAAAATACTGCGGAAACAAAGACACCTACATCTTGGATGCCCTTGAGGTAAGCTAAAACATACCAAAAATGTATTTCAAAGTGAACTATCCCTTTAAAAATTAGCTAAATTTTCATTTACTCGCTTGTGGTGTTTCAAATGCTGTTTTTCCCCATGGAACAAATCATTATCCACAAAAAGCAGGATCGCGTACAGCCAGTCATCTGCAACGTTAAAGGATTAGTTCACTTCAGAATACAATTTTCCTGATAATTTAATCCAAGATGTTCATGTCTTTCTTTCTTTTCAGAAAAGAAATTAAGGTTTTTGAGGAAAATATTCCAGGATTTTTCTCCATATAGTGACTTCAACGCTTATCAACAGTTTGAAGGTCCAAATGTCAGTTTCAGAGCAGCTTCAAAGTCTCGACACGATCCCAGCCGAGGAATAAGAGTCTTATCTAGAGAAACGATCGGTCATTTTCTAAAAATAAATAAACATTTCTATACTTTTTAACCACAAATGCTCGTCTAGCTCTGCGATGCGCCACACATCACGTAATAGCGCTGGGAAGGTCACGCGGTAACCTGACGTAGGCGGAAAATGTTGGATAGGGCGAAAAGATAATTTTCTCTAACTTCAAAATCGTCCGACATCGTTGTTTTACCTTTTTGTGTGTAAAGGGCACTTGACTTAGTCTTTGCACGCTGGCTTTGTAAACACTAGGTCTGCACCTCTGCCTAACGTCGTGAACCGCCGCCTTCAACGTGATTACGTAATGCGTGGCGCATCGCAGAGCTAGTGCAAGACGAGCATTTGTGGTTAAAGGGTAACTAAACCCCTGGTCAGAGCCTGACTCCACCCACTGGCAATATTTGAAAAATGCTGGAAAAGTGGGCGGAGCCCAGCGGAGATAGAGGGGATGAACGGATACTCTATCCTGATCGTTTTCAATACTCGCAATTCCAACTCCTGACTCGCTACAGTGGTTTTGACGAAACAAGATGGTTTTTATACTGCCATGGACGTTGTAGCTCGTACCAAGGGCGTGGTAAGCTGAAACCTGCTTACGCCAGCTCTCACCGCTACCGTCACGAACTACCGCAAACATCCAATAGGAAAATTCAACTGCAGTAGCCACCGTTCAACCTGAAGAGGGCAGCACTCAGACGTTTTTATACCATATATCAGTGGTCTCAAACTCACGGCCCACGTGCCGCAATATTTTGTGGCCCCCTACTTGACATTAAATTTTAATGTTAGTGCGGCCCGTCATTGCGTGTGCCGCGTTAAAATTTTTTTTTTTTTTTATCCCTTATGGGCTACCATAGATAGTCTCGTGACAGCTTACGGTGGGTTTGTTGTCAATAGTTCAGTCCCTCCAGAAAAACGCGATTATGCGATCGCTGAATTCAATGCATAATCAGCCAAAGTCCGCATATTTATGCGGGGGTCGCATTTTTTCAAATACTTCGCAATTTCGCCGCATAAATTGCTGATTTCCGCGCAAAATATGCGGGGCTTGCATGATTTCATAATCCCCGCATTTTCGGCGCAAAAAAAGACACATATATCTTAGCAGAAAGTTGGAAAATGTTGCTCAGCTCACAGCTGAAGTTATTGCAGAGGCCAGACAGACTCACGGAGGCGATTGGCATCTCACAACTCACACTTTATTCCCAAATCGAACTCGTATAACTGTCTGTCACACGTTCTACCGTCCACATCGTTACTTAATAAACAAAATAAGTTAAAAGAAGTAGCATCAAACAGAAATTACCCGCACACATGGGGTGTTCGAGGCGCATGGCACATACAATATAATACTGCAGACATTTCAACAGGGAGCGCGCAGCTCTTAAAGGGGCCACACCTTATTTCCACTCGTTACAGTCTGAAATAAAACAAGATGAGAAATTAAATATTTCCATCACTTTTTTTTCTCTTTTTCATCAAACCGCAGTTTTTGCAAGTTCCCGCAATTTTTGCAAGTTCCCGCAATTTCATCGCAAAAAATTGCATAAATATCCCGCATATTCCATCGCATTTTTAAAGAAAATGGGCCGCGTAATCAAGGATTTTTGCCCGCAACAATCACAAAAAACTCCGCATTTTTCTGGAAGGACTGATAGTTGTCATAGACAACCGCGAAGTACAAACATACTGCGCCTGGAAAAAATGAGCGCGTCGCTTCAATTATGAGCGTGCTTACCGCGCACCTACATTTGAAATAACGAACTTGAGCGCGCAAAATATGTGAGCGCGATATGTGAACAGCCCCTTGGCGAGCTACCACCAATCAGGCCACGAGCTACTGATAGCTCGCGAGTGACGTGTTGAAGAGAGACCCTGCTCTAAAACAATGTGAGAATAATCACTTTGAGCTTGTAATATGTGTCCAACAGGTTCATAAGAAGGTTTGCTTTGATTTGTGCAGTCAGTAATTTGAGACACTATACATGTGTAGAAAGAATTCAATAAGACGGGCAGACATGACTGCAAATATTTGTATTTCAAAAGCAATAATTGTTTTTCTAAGTATAATAAAAGGAAATGTGCCTTCCAAAAAAAAAAACATTCAATATCATTAATGTGTTGTATAAAGAAAAGAAAAAGGACATAAGCAAATATAAATATCACAAATATGTGTTATAGACAAAGAAAGTTTGTAAAATGAACTTCAACTGTCAGAAGGACAGCTCATGAAGAACCAATCGTGTACAGAAAGGAATGTTCAAATTCAGAGGAACAGTTCAGAAGAAACGTTAATAATAAATATTGAGAAGATTGGATCAGTTGTGCTCCTTTTTTGGAATACTTGAATACTATTTTTTGTGGAATACTTGATGCGGCCCAGCCTGACCCCGACTCTACCTCCAGCGGCCCCCAGTTAAGTTGAGTTTGAGACCCCTGCTTTAAAGTATATACACGTTTAATTTTTGTTGAAAATGACCGATCGTTTCTCTAGATGAGACTCTTATTCCTCGGCTGGGATCGTGTCGAGACTTTGAAGCTGCTCTGAAACTGACATTTGGACTTTCAAACTTATTGATAACCGTTGAAGTCACTATAGAGAAAAATCCTGGAATGTTTTCCACAAAAATGTCTCAAATGAATGAAGAAAGACAGACATGAATATCTTGGATGACATGTGGGTGAGTAAATTATCAGGACATTTTGATTCCGAAGTGAACTAATCCTTTAACCTTGACGTATTGTGTTGTTTGCTAACAGTCTAATTCGGTTTGTCAATGTCTGGATTTTGATTTTGTTTTTGTACTGGATTTTAATTAAAATCTGTCAATCTGGGGAAGCCATCGCTGACAGATTCATTCAAGCATGTGTCAGTCATCTATGTACGTTCCTCAGTGAACGAACCAGGGTTACAAACCTGGGCCTCCCAGCAGGCCGAACGGGCTGATCTCAGCAGAGCGTCTCTGAAGATCACTGGGACTGGATTTAATATGCTTAAGTGAGTAATGACACAGTGTGAGTGCACTGGACGCTAGAATACACTCAACCTGAGGTCATCCGAGCGGCCACACCCAGCCTCGAACGCTGCGGTCACATACCACTGTCACTACGACCAAAATGAAAGATGCCGTTTTATCTTTATATTCTGTCCACGGTTTGTGGTGGAAGTCTTGACGCTCGGCATCTGTCTGTGACAGCAAGGCAGCTCACTAGGTCTTCAAGCAGAGATTATTTATTCAATTAAATCAAAGATATTACAAATAGGATGGTGAATTCACAAACTGTTGACACAATCAAAACACGCAAGATCCAGCCTCAATTCAATTTAAGATTAATAAAAAGTCTATAGGTAAGATGGTGAGATTCAGGTAACAGCAAGAGCCGAGAGAAGAGCACAGCACCCGTGTGGTGTCTACATGTTAGTGTTCAGAAATCACCAACGATCAACAACGCTTTCTGGAGTTTCCCCAAATATGACAGCCTGTCCGGTAACATGGTCCCATCTACAGGCAGGAGCTTGGCTGTGGGATTGACTGGTTTGTTCACTGATGAAGTTGTCAATCTGTATTGCCTGCGAATAAACAAACAAACTAAAGGTAAATGCTGGTCCAAACGTGTTCTGGGTCTGTGTTCAGTAGTACTGGATCACATGACTTCAGTTTTGCTTGTTCTATATGCCAATAGTATGTACACTGGAGCTAAATTCAGTTGTCAATTCACCTTTTAGTGCTTAGACACAGAGTTCAGTCCTTTACCGGAGTGGGAACCACATTCTGTAACTGAATTAAAGGGATAGATCCCCCAAAAATCACCCTCATTTACTCTCCCTCATGTCGTTTCAAACCCGTAAGACTTTCGTTCATCTTTGAAACACAAATGAAGATCTTTTTGATGAAATCTGAGAGATTTCTGTCCCTCCATTGACAGCTACACAACTACCACTTTGACGATTCAAAAAGTTCATAAAGAGATCGTAAAACTAATCCATATGAATTTAGTCCAAATTTTCTGAAGAGACTCGATCGCTTTATATGACTTAATTGAGTCTTTAATTCACATATAAACATTGATCAGCGAACAAACAGAAGCTCAACCGACCCTACTTGACGTGCAAGAAAAAACCTCTTGCTGAAGCTCAAACGTGCTTCTGTTTACCACAACTGATGTGTGAGGTGATGAATGTTTATTTGTGAATAAAGGACTAATTAAATCTGGTCATCATATCTCAGTGATCGAGTCTCTTCAGCAAATTTGAACTAAACTGCTTAATTCATATGGATTAGTTTTACGATCTCTTTATGAACTTATTGAAGCGTCAAAGTTGTAGTTGTGTAGCTGTCAATGGAGGGACAGAAATCTCTCAGATTTCATCAAAAAGATCTTCATTTGTGTTCTGAAGATGAACAAAAGTCTTACGGGTTTGGAACGACATGAGGTTGAGTAATTAATGGCAGAAATTTCATTTTTGCGTGAACTTTAACTCCTGAAAAACTTCAGGTAGTGACAACCGCATTTGCAAAAACATCTACGCCGTGTGTACGAGACGAACTGAACAACTAGTTAATGACGCATTTAAACGTGCATCACTTTTTGCACGCGCAGTGCAGGAAAATCACAGGGAAAGAGGTACGAGCCTTGACTCAATCGTGTTGCCAGATCTTGCTAGAAAAACAGCCAACAAGAACAAGCCCATAAAAAATTCAACGAATGCAAATGCTTTATATTGAAAATAAGATCAAAATATCGTGACCGGCACCTTTGATAACTTTATGATCGAAGCCCTGACAAGCCCAAAATACTAAGTGGATGGCAACACTTCCAGAGAGCCCTCTGTGAAGCAGCCTTACAAATATCTCAGTCTTTGGTCGCTGCAATATTAATTTAAAACAAGCGAGATGCCAGAACGTTGCTACGGTTACCACAGTGTCAATCATCGCAACTTCGGTGAGTCTACTTCGTACAAACACGAAAAGATTATTTAGAATTACACAAAAGTGAAAATATACTGAACCTGGAGTGTATATGTATATGAATTCTGAGAGCGTGTGAATCTGCACTTGACACGGACTCAGTTTGTCCTTATAAAGCCCACTGTATCATATTTGATACACAAACTTCGGAGGCCTCTAAATGATCAAAACCTCACAATCATCATCATTGTATTGCATTGCATTATGTGTTCTGAAACTACAGGGTTATGATCATAAAATTAAGAATTTAAATATCATCTTACTAAAACATTATTGGGAGATATAGAGTGAAAACTGATACTTATATGATTTTATGCAATATCTGCTATACTGTTCTGGCCATATAAATTTCAGCATCTGCAGCAAATTGCATATTTTTTGCTCTACAATAGAGCGGTTTTTTTTTCTCCAAGTATGAGCTGCATATTCTAATCATATCAAACTATGAGCCATAAAAGTCTTATCTATTAAATATGATACTCAACTGTAGATACTCCACTTTTTAAAAAAAAACAATTAAAAAAAAAAGGCTTTAGGTTCAGCCTTCAGTTTACAGGGTCAAATAATAATGGTACATGTGACAGAACAAGCATACCTGTGTTTCAGTAGTTGATCATGCGCTTGACGGCCTCAAAGCACTTCCACTTGTCGGGGATGTAGAAGGGCTCAAAGATGTGCGGGAAGGGCGTATCATACCCACAAACCCTACTGATGGGAGCCTCCAAGTTGAGGAAACACTCCTCCTGCAGAGAACACATGCAGCTCCATTAATAACATAAACCATACAAATCTTTCTTTTTTTCCAGAGCCTATTCACCTTATTCTCAACGCAAGAGCTGCGGTGGCTATTACAACTTGAATGTGTCGAGGCTTCTGGTTTCATTCGCTATTAGTTATTTGATTCCTGATGCTTGATATTGCAAACTATTACTCATCATATTATTTTAATACATAAAACCATTTATATACCATTTCTAGCATTTTGTTACTCTTCCCATTATTTACCTATAGCGACTAAGTCAAGTCACCTTTATTTATATAGTGCTTTATACAATACAGATTGTTTCAAAGCAGCTTTATAGTGATAACAGGAAAATTATTCAATGATAAATACAGAGTTCATTTCAGCTGTACAACAGCTTTAAAAGAAAATAGTGTCATTATTCAATGTTGATTCAGTTCCATTGTAAAGATAGTCTATTATTAAATTAGTTCATTTCATCTATAAAGCAGCACTGCAGAAAAATGTGATGTCATCGTCCAGCTCAGTTCAGCTCTCATCCAATAGTGTCACTGCAGTCAAGTCATTGTTGAATATATTAAGTGAAAGTCCCCATACAGAAAATGGCTTACTTCCGCATTGAAGGTGAATGCAAAATATGTTGATGTTTTCATTTAACTTTAAATCACTGATTTGTTGCTGTTCTACAACAACACTGACTCTAATACAAGAGTCAAGAGACACCAGTTCATGCTTCAAAACGTCCATAAAGAGATTGTAAAAGTATGAATATGAATTGAACACTTTAATAAGTTGAAGTTCTCTGAAGGGTCACGTTAGCTTTATATGATGAACCGATTTAATTTAGACTTTTATTCACAGACAAACACATCAAATAAGGAAAACCGAAGCTCAAATGTGCTTGCTTGACGTACACGAACCAAGAGGTTCAGTCAAACGCGTCATTTTAAAGTCAAGTCAAGTCAAATATATTTATATAGCGCTTTTCACAATACAGATTGTATCAAAGCTGCTTCACAGTATCAAAACAACTTAACAGTGTTTGTTTATTACTGGAAAAAGACATCCAAGTTTGGTAGAGCTGATCAGTGGTATGATGGGTCATTTAATTTGAATATCCCCAACTGAGCAAACCAAAGGCAACAGTGGCAAGGAACCGAAAAACTCCATCAAGTGACCCAATGGAGAAAAAAAAACCTTGGGAGAATCCAGGCTCAGTCGGTGCCAGCTCGAAGGATTTGGTGGAAAAGACTCTCAAAAGAGGGACAGAGATGTCTCCAGTTTCACAAACAATATCTTCATTTGTGTTTTGAAGACGCAAGTCTTACAGGTTTGGTGAGTAAATGACTGGGTCCTGGAGGGCCACAGTCCTGCAGAGTTTAGCTCAAACCTGCCTCAACACTCCTGTCTGGACATCTAGTATGCCTAGTACGACCTCGATTAGCTGGTTTAATTGGGGTTGAAGCTCAACTTTGGGCCTCCAGGAGCAGGATTGGACACCCATGCTTTAGAGAGAATGTTTCTGTTGATCTTTAGAATACAAGCCAAATTAGGTCCACTGATATTCAATGCTGTGAAACATAAAAACACAGTAAAATGCATTGCATTGTGTGTTTTGAAACTACAGTTTCGAATTTAAATATCATCTTACTAAAACATTATTGGGAGATATAGAGTGAAAACATGATTTTATGCAAGTATCTGCTATACTGTTCTGGCCAGTAAAAAAAAAGTCCAATAGCGAAGGCTGTAATTTATTAAAGAACACTGTTGAACTAAAGAACATGTCTTAAATATGGAGGAACAAGAAAATATCATAAACCGCACATGATAAACAGCAAAAACAAAACAAAAATAAAACTCTTCATGTCCTTAGTCATCACCTCAACGAGCGGTTGGGTTTCTATTTAAGCTTTTGGAGAGCTAAATAAGGTATCAAGCCAAAAAATCCCAAATGGAAGCTAAACAAACCCAATTCCTAATGACAAAACACAACACTTATTTTCACAGAACCATCAAAAATTGCATCAGGAAAATCTCTAAAAGGGTCTAATGTTTCCTTATACAAAGCCAACACTGAAATCTACTGTCCACGAAGACACTTCCAACTCTTAATGGATGCTTTTTGGCTTTTCCGTGCCCAAATCTGAAATGCATGAGCTAAGTGTGAAACATGTTGCACTCTGGGCGAACTCTCTCTCGTCTGGTTGTGTTTTCTGAAGTGCCTAGAAAAGAGCGTCAAGCTTCATTAAAGGGCTTTGTGCTTGCTTTACATGACGACCTGAATAAACACAAAAATGTGGTTTAGATTTGCATCCGCAGGCAGTTCCAGCTCTGCCGAGAGACATCAGGAAAGGCCCTGCGGAGCCGAGGCAGGTCCCAGATGCTCAGTGGTCAGAACGGGCCCGGCATCTCGCTGCTCGACCCACACATAATCACCGTGTTGGGATTTGATGTGGCAAGATGAACCCAGTGCTTCTGCGACTCAGAAATAGTTGTACCTGCATGGGATGAATCTGAATGGTGTGCTTTGTAGGACACATCAGGACATCTGCTGATAGACAGGAATTAAAATTAGATGCGATACATTTGTTCGCTTCAGTTCACTTCAGTGCAGGAAAATAATGTTTCCCATTCTCTACACTCTCAAACTTATGTTTTTGGCATTTACATTTGTTCATCCATGTTCTCTATATTCTCTTCCACCATTACTGCTTGGATAATCAAAGCATCAAAGTAGTTTAGTACAACTCATGCGCTATACTCCAGGTCTTCTGAACTGGTTTAATATTCCCCTTCTAAAAAAATCCTAGACGGTTGTGAGCCAAAGAAGAGTCGTAACACGTTTCATCCGAGAAACAGAACGAACCCAAGAGGTCCAAACACGTGCACATTCAGCAGAACTACAACACAAACGTAGACAGAGCAAACCAATCTAACATCAGCAACAGTTGGAGGTCTGAATCACCACAGTACATATTTAGCAAATTGTCCTCAGTTTTAAAGCCAAGGGTAATTCTGGGTCATTTATTCTTTAGTCCCGAAAGCGGACGAGTACCTGCCAACCTGACCCACGAGAAGAGCAAGAAGAAACCTCTAAATACTCTTACTGGAAAAGCAGGAGAACAGAAGTGCAGTCTTGTCTGAAGACACTGCATGTGGCCTGAAAACAAGACCACTACTTCAGTTTCATCCACATACAGTGGGGAGGAACACGTATTTGATACACTGCCGATTTTGCAGGTTTTCCCACTTACAAAGCATGTTTTTCTTTTATGCCAAAAATCATTAGGATATTAAAGGCCATGGTGCAGGTTTTTTTTTTTTTTTTTTTGCCAGTTTTCTAGTTGGTAATAAACATTTAAACAGTTATCCTTTGTATTTTATGTTGTAGGGGATTACAAAAAAGAAATATAATACGGAAAAGTCGGTGATGTGTTAGCATTTACCACTAGCCTAGCGAGGATTCTAATTTCTCCCACAATGCATTGCATGACGTCACATGAGGTACTCGCTGTTGGACAACAGACGAAAGCCCGCGAGTAGTAACTTAGCTAACGGTAGCTAGTGAAAGAGTGACAGTGTCAGATAAGTAAATATATCGAGATAGATAGATAGATAGATAGATAGATAGATAGATAGATAGATAGATAGATAGATAGATAGATAGATAGATAGATAGATAGATAGATAGATAGATAGATAGATAGATAGATAGATAGATAGATAGATAGATATCATAAGCATAACATAGATAGATAGTGAGATATAGCATAGCATAACAGCTTAGAGATAGAGAAGAGTAAGCTAGATAATAAGTAGACAAAATGGTTTATTACTGTGTTTGTGGCGGGTGCAAAAACTTTATCAAAACTGGACATGGGGTCCATTGTTTCCCCAAGGACAAAGGGAGCTTCCGAAGCTGGGTGCAATTTGTCAAGATTAGGCGAGCAGATTTTTCAGCTAAGTTAGCTCTGTCGCCGCCTACTCGAGAATATGCAGCGCGCATTTCAAAGAGGAGGATTACCTCTCAGGGATGCCAAGATGGTCTCACTTAGTTTAAAGAGTGAGAGGATGGCTAAGTTACTTCCTACCGCCGTGCCGTCTGTGAATGCAAACATCTCTGCTTGCCCTGTCCCGAGGTCGAGAGACACCGTCTGCCGCAAGCGAGATATTGCCACGGTAAGTTCATTCTAACGTTAATGTTTACAAGCTGCGTGTTAGCTAGCTCTGTGTGTATTTTGTATAGCTACCGTGTTCCCTTTGACACAGCCTCCACTACAAGCACGATCACTCTGACATTAGAAGAGCATTTTTCGTGATTCACGAATTTGAGCCAAAACAAAATTGCCCTGAAGTAAACGTCCATATCGTCATGAAAGCTTCATGGCTAGTGTTTGGATCAGTGGTGATGATCATCAAGCGGCTTTCGCAATCGTGTATTTGCTTTTTTTGTGTTAGACTGCTACGGTTCTCTTTCACATTTGACCGTGACCGTGTCGTCAGGGCTGTAGTGGAGGCTAAACGCAGTTTACCCACCGCTGAAATTATGTCAGAAACAGTTTATCCACTTCTCACTTCAGAGTTTAGCTACCTCTCAGTAAATTCACTACCTCGTAGAGTTTATGTAACTTTACCACATGTATTACCACTAGTATTGGTGTAAACATTTAATTGTAACATTCAAATCATCAAATATGTTCTGAATTTCTTTTATGTATTTTTAAAACATTTAGTAGCGCATATCAGGGTCCACTGTACTGTAATCTCCCTGGCAATCTCGTAACATTCTGTTTACTGTTTATGTTTGCTATAATTCATATGCAGGACAATTTCATGTGTTTCCATTAGTGTCAATGATCTTTATACAGTATTATTATTATGTCTGCAGGTTATGCAACATCATTAATGAAGGCCCTTCGGGAAAGCTACACCAATTCACCTGCAGCTCTTTGAGAGGTTAGCGCCAGTTTGTCCTGATGCACTCGCCCCCATCGCCAC